TGAGGGGCTTGAGTCTATCTGAACAGTACAGGGCACAAAGCAGGGGAGCACATTAAACAGGATGCTAGTTATTGCTAATATATGCAACATTATTCTTGCTTACACATTTTTTATTATAAATCAATTGATTTAAATTATATTCCCATAAGACAGCTACATTATATACACATACAGTATACCTTGCTAGTGCTGAGTTGGAAGCCATTTTGCCTACAGGACAGCCCGAATACTTTATGGCACATATTCAGAAATATGCTGGAATCTTCTCTTGTAGAGGTCCTTACCCTTAAAACCTTCCTTTTGGCTTTGATCTGGCTGGCTAATTCCCCCTCAGCACATCCATTATGGCATTTTTCTCTTCTTTTTTTGTTTATCACTCCTGTCCTTAGCTAGACACTGGACTACATTAAAATCTCGGGGTGGTGGCTGTTCCTGAGATGCTGGAATCACTACGTCAATTACGCCCATTCCAAAGCTTGGTGGAGTAGCAACCGGCCCTTAAACTGCACATGTTGCCCATTCTTAAGCTTGGTGGAGCAGCAACCGGCCCTGTCCATGTGCTTTATGCAATTCTGTTCATAGGAGCAGGCTGTGGGTGTAAATGTCCCAAATAAAGTGGCCGCTGCGTATATGTTTGAAGAAATTATTCATGTGCATTAATTCAGTATGACATTTGCGTAAATTCTCTAAATCACGCCCCGGAGCCTTTCGGATGCGTCGTTATGAAAGAATAAACAAGCATCTTACTTTTGGTATCTTCAAGGGGCAGAAAGTGATCCTTTCCGTTTTACATTTTGCAGGCTGAATTGCATTTGAGAACGTTGTAGGTGAGGATGTCTGCGAGAATTGCTTAAAAATGATCTACATTCATTCCTAATGGATTCTGAATATATGTAAATCAGTAAAGAATCATTCTTTGAATTAATCTTACCTTTTTATATGGTTTTATGTTAGCTTTAAATTCTTACATAATTGTCTAGAGAAAAAATCATCCAGAACTATGTGACTTGACAAGGGTAACTTGATAATCATCTCAGCATGTCAAATATGAGAAGGAGATATTAGGTAACTGCAGAAATACCTTGGATTGGTATTTAAGTATGTTGAATGACTATGGTCTTGAATGACTGTTGTATGATAAGAATCAAACAACATATGATCACTTCGCTTTCTTTTTTTCCTTCCATATTAGTGCTACCACAAAAACGGTACAATGTCACTTTCAAAAATCTCCGTGCCATGTGGCCTTATGTGTCGCAGTCACTGCAGCAGATACAGTATCTTCTTGCGTACTTCCTCTCAACGATCAGATGCCTTCTTAGACCCCTACACTCCATAACCTTCTGTCTGACTATTTTCCTCTCCCACCTGCCATCTGCTGTGGACCTTCTCAGAATGCATCCATCTTCAAGAAAGGATTTGCTGATAATGTAATGAACTGTGGAGGGTATTATACCTTGCACTCGGGAGACGTACATAATGTGATTAAGTGCACCAGTGGAACAATGTTATCTGCGTACGACTTCATTGATGGACCACAAGTTGCTGGGGTATAAAAAAAAGTTCAATCAAACAAGTCGTTTTTTACACTATTATTTAAAATGTGGTTTCATAGAGATGTAAATCAGTTTTGCCTGTAAATCCAGGAGCAACCCAAGGCATAGTGAAGGTGTAAACAATTTTCATGCGGTGGTGCCGTTATGGGACACGTATTTGGCACACGTTTGTAAAGAGATGACCATACTCTGCCTGCTGCGAGAGTCATGTGACATCAGGCAAAACTCAGGCCTTAAATTTAAAGCAGTCTGTTATATTTAATAGTAATAATATTAATAATAATTATTACGCTAGTGCACATGTTTCCCAGCATGTTTCTTCCGACTTTTAATATACGGAAATGGCTTTGTACCCAACGGTTTAGCAGGCCGCGCCGTCCAGACAAATGACACCGGACTTCTCACCGTTTTCCCGCTGCATGCAACTTGCAGCGAAGAGGGGCTTAATTTAGCTGATGATTTACTAATTAGTGATATGGTAGCTTTGGCAGATCATACTGGGACACAATTTCTTACCCAGTAGGCCACCCGATGGGCAATTATTTTCAGTAAGACTTTTCAATAAGTCTCATTTTGTTTACTTAGAAAAAAAGAAACAAACAAAAAATTATTGTAGCAACCACCTCCCCCCCCATCACCCCCCTCACTCCCACAGCGCTCCCCACTGCCACTATGGTTTACAAGTTCCTTAGACTCAGACTGTAGTATTTCCAAATTATCCTACCCAATCCTCCTAGGGTTATCCTGCTTTTCTACATGTGAGTTACAACACAAACTTCTGTTGTATGATTTTACATTGACAATAAAGGTGCCCTGTGTCATCAAGTGTGTAGTAAAAATATGACTGAAGGTTGGTGAGGGACCCTTACAGGCAGTCGTGGAGGATCCCATTCAAGGACAGGGGTAGCTCTTTCCTGGTTGGCAGGACCCTCGTGTTTTCATATACATTTTTGTGGTGGTGAGGACTGTAGAGCAGTGGAACTACCTAAAGTCACTTTGCCAGAACATGTGAGCGATGGCTGGAGTTTACGACCAAGAGCGGTGGGCGGAGTTTACGACCGAGAGTCTGGCAAGACAGGCGGCTTGAGCTCTAAGGCTTAGTCGTGGCATTTACGGCGGCCAAAACTCGACGGACGTGGGGAGCGATAACGGGGCGGCGATGGCGGTTTAAAGTCTGCCAGCCTTTAAAGCCCCAGGATTCACATTAGCGGGGATGGGGGGGGGGAAAATTAAAAAATCAGCCAGCTGGTTGACCGCCTTCCAAATGCAATGCAAATGAATCCCTTGACCCCAGATTTATGAATTATGTATAGTTGTTGGGGATCCATCGGATAGGGTCACATGGCTAAAAACAGCACCCCACAGGTTCACACTGAGGAAAGGGGGGGGGGGGGGGCACGAGCAATTAGGGACACAGCCAGAGGGCCTAAGCGGGTGGTCAGTTGTTAAAAAAGTAGGGGCCCTGCTGGAAGAGAGGCTGAAATGCTGTATCACAGGCACCTACATGCGGGGATCGTCTAAGCAGTGACTGATGGAAAACCTGGAGTCCAGCGTATCAACAGGAGTCAGCATCTGACATGTAGCCTTTTGCCTCAAGAGTCAGCAAAGAAATGGAATCGTGTCACATACGGACCCACAGAACGAGGGCAGAGCTGTAAGGAGACTGTTTTATAGCCCTGAATGGAACGTGTGTTTGGTCTCTGTCTGGCTGACAGACATAATGTGCCGACGGAACATGGTAGCAATTATAACACACTTGCTTTGTTGCATCGCAACATTTTTTAAGCCTAACTGTAGACGCATTAATTGTGAGATTCTGAAAGTGCAGTCAAATTTAAACCTCAGGACACCCAAATTAATATAAAACTCTGAGACTAAGTGCTTCTTTGCTATTTCATTTGTCTATTTGATTTTGTTTGGGCAAAACCTAATGCCTGTGGTCGATACTGTACAAGCTCCCCAAAGGAGTTTTAAAACATTATTATGATAGGACTGCGAGAAATGTATTAATATATAATATTTCCGAATGCAGCGGTATTCTGTTTGTTTATGTCTCTTCTCTGGCCTAAAATAGAAGTAAAAAAAAACCCCCACACATCAAACCTCGTTTAGTGGGTAACATCTATCCGCTTTCCATAGCCACTTGTCCGGTTCAGGACCTGGAGCCAATCCCGGGAAGCATAAGTGAAACCTTGGATGGGATGCCAGTCTTTCAGAGGGAACATGCAGACTAGCGCCAAACTCATTTAAACTGCATGGTTTTGGGCCGTCAGAGTACCAAGAGAAAAGCCAGATGAGCACGGGGAGAATATCACACATGAAAGGCCAGGGCAGAGATCAAACTCGCACCCTCAGAGACACTAGCTGTCCCTAAGTGCCAGCAAAATTAAAATAAAAAATAAAATATGGAAGTATGCCAGTTCAGTGTTTCTATGCTTGGGCTCTTCTCGCTTGAAAGAAAATGGAAAACAGCATACAGTTATGGCGCTGTTTATACCGTCAGGATTTCATGTCAAAATGGATTCATAAGTCACTTATTTTACTGAAAATTGGGGGAATTATATAAGCATAAGACTTTTTAGGTGTCTTGGAAAAAATTGGCCATGAATTTTATGGATGACCTATTCATAACCATGTCTTCCTGACGCACTAAATGGCAGACCTGTGACAGGCAGCAGTAATAAAAAAAGCCAAATTAATTTATTTTGCTTCCACTCCTCGCATAGGACTGGCAAAACAGCCTGCTGTGAATGCAAACAAGCCCGGTGATGGAAAATGGCGAGACCAGCCTCAGCGAATACTGTCAGCTAAGACTGTAAACCTGGCCTCCGTATGTACTATCCTGATGAAAAGCTCAGTGTCCCTCCAAGTTGACATACAGCCTCTTGTTCTCTGATTTGATTTTTATGATATTTTACTTCACCTGAGCTGAGGTTCCTGGGTTGCCAAGTTTCACACATTGTCCCAGCTGTGTGAGGGGATTTTTTTTATATCCTCCGTAATTAATGGGTTTGTGTGCCTTCTGCGTGTACAGCAGGGAGCACTGTGGGTTCAGACTTCTAGGGTTGCCAGATCGATTCCAGCCCCAGCTGTGTATCTGGGATTTTCATACTCTGATTATTTAGTGGGTCTGAGCACCTTCTGATGGACTGTAACCCCATCCAGGGTGTGCCACACTTCCTAGGAGTGGGTCCAGACACAGCCGGACACTACACTGGATAAAAACCCATGAAAAATAGATGAAGCCACTACAGACCCTTATGAAATCAATGGGATCTAAACAAACAAACAAACAAAGAGCCAGCTAGCTGTTTGTTAATGTGCTCAGAGAACAGCTGAAAAACAATTTGATAAAACATCAAACTGCTACCATGCAAAGCACCTGCTGAATCTTTATTTCATTAGAAAATTATGATCCTTGAGGGTATCGATTGTTACCACACCATGCGTCAGAATGCGACGCACAATGGATCACGCTCGTAACACCTTCAGCCGGCCACACGGGCCTTGATTATTTACTAAGTGGATGAACATCGACTAAACGTCTGCCGTCTTTGAAGATGGAAGGTTGAATATCTAAAAAAAAAAAAAAAAAAACTAATGCAACATAAATTAAGCAAAGACACTCTGCATTTTACTAAATCATTCAATGGCCATGTAAATAGCATTAGCATGGGCTTAAAAGTATTCAGGTTAAGGTCTGCAATGGAGGTGTGTGCAGTGGAAATGCTTTTAAAACATGCAATCTGTAGTACTGTTATATACCATCTAGTGACAATAGGCAGCATCCCAGATACGCTCCAGACCCCTGCAACCCTGCATAGAAAATGCGGGTATAGAAAATTGATGGATGGATGGATGGATGGATGGATGGATGGATGGATGGATGGATGGATGGACGGAGTAAGTCTCTAAAAACAGGAGTCGCCAACCACTTCCAGGATGGGATGTTACCTAAGAGAAAAGTGTCACAAGCTGGCCTTTCCATTATGACTTATTTTATTTAACATTGAACAACATTTCTCATAGAACAAACTCTTACACATTTTAAATAATGTATTCTGTTTTACCTTCAATGAGAGGATTGACCCAGTCTGTCATCTGCCAGGGCTGTAGACGGAACAGTGTTAAGCACAGAACATTTTGCTTAGTGGAATATCCCTCAAGGATTTAGACAACTTGTAGATTTGAATGTGTGAAGGTTTGTTTATATCAAATTTACATGAATTTTATCATGTTATCTATACGTGCTGTGACATAGCATTCCCCAGGACCATGGTGAGGATAGAGACAGGACATGACATGGTAAAACACTACATGGATACAGCACTTATTATTTACGATGTAAACACAGGAGCATGCATTAAATAACACACGACATGACTGGCCCTGTGGCATCACAACATATTTACCCTTATTATTCCGATTATATACAATATTAAGTGAAAAATATTCAGTTATCACGAGAAAATGATATCCGTTTTCTAGAGAATTATGCTCTTATTGTGAGAAAACTATATATAAAAAAACAGTTAACCATCAGAGATGCTGATTGAAATTACAATTATGGCATTTTCATACCTGTACATTGGTTTTCAGAGAAAAATATTCAGTTATCATGAGAAAATTATATCCGTTTTCTGGAGAATTATGCTCTTATTGTGAGAAAACTATATAAAAAAAACAGTTAACCATCAGAGATGCTGGTTGAAATTACAATTATGCCGTTTTCATACCTGTACTTTGGTTTCTCTGGTCTGAATCAATTGATGAGTTTGGATGAGTTTTCCCTTCAGTTCATTTTGCTTTCACACAGAGAAAAATAAAAGGGAAGAAGAAATGAACCACTATAAACCATGTGAGAATGTTCATTCTGCTTATTGGTCAGATGTGACTGTGGTAGGAATAAGAAAATACAGGAAGAAGGTCCCGTGTCCTGGGTTGTGCGGTAAATACAGGAAGGCCCTGTGTCCTGGGCTATGCAGTAACTACAAGAAGAAGGTCCCGTGTCCTGGGCTATGCGGTAAATACAGGAAGAAGGTCCCGTATCCTGGGCTATGGGGTAAATACAGGACAAAGGTCCTGTGTCCTGGGCTATGAGGTAAATACAGGAAGGCCCTGTGTCCTGGGCTATGCGGTAAATACAGGAAGAAGGTCCCGTGTCCTGGGCTATGCGGTCTATACAGGAAGAAGGTCCCGTGTCCTGGGCTATGTGCTAAATACAGGAAGAAGGTCCCGTGTACTGGGCTATGCAGTAAATATAGGAAGAAGGTCCCGTGTCCTGGGCTATGTCGTAAATACAGGAAGAAGGTCCCGTGTCCTGGGCTATGTGGTAAATACAGGAAGAAGGTCCCGTGTACTGGGCTATGCGGTCTATACAGGAAGAAGGTCACATGTTGGTGTGAAAACACTAAGATGTTAAAACCTATCCAACCACATGTTTTAAGCACACAATCCAATGAAATTTTGCCTAGCGAAATCTTGGAACTAAACCGTTCCTGCTAAAACTTGTACAGGTCAAGATGCGTTTAACTCTACCAATTCGGGCCTCAGACGGGTCGATCGAGAAAAATCTAGCTGCAACATGACTGAAGACTCAGAACACAATAAAACAAAACAGACCGAGACGGGTCCCCCCTTCCGAACAATAACCCCTCCATCCCTCCTCCTCCCCACCTGCCACTTCCAGCACGCCATCAGCTCACCTCAGTACAGGCAAAGTGCTCATGAATTGTCGTTTATTTCATGTTTATTGCATTGTTATTGTTTATTTGTATGTGTACTTTTTCATGTATGTGTTATTTTTATATGGATTGTTAATTCTTTTTATCATTAGTTAGGTAGGTAGATAAGTTTTACTTGGCAATAATTTGGGGTCTGGAGTCTGGAATGGACTAAATTCATTTACATTATTACTTATGGGGAAATTCGACTTGGACCTCCACCAAATTGCAACTCGACCAGCCTTCTGGAATGAATTAAGTTTGTGTTGCAAGGTACCACTGTATTTGAGATTGTTGCAGGATTGTTTGTCAAGCTGCACTATACAGTACGGTCGTACAAGCTACTGTGACCTCACAGGCTCCCTGTTGGTGACCCCTGCCTTAGATGCCATGTAGCCTGTGTGACAGTGTCACAGCCTTACATTAATAAGCAGGTACTGAAAATTGATGGATGCACATTTTTAAAACAAGGCTTACTGGATTTAGGAAACGTTAAAAATGCCAATAAAATCAAGAGCTCTATATGCAGAGAACCTGGTAATCACAGTGCCCTTGTTCAGCAGAATCAATACAGTCTGAAATATTCCAGAATAATCATATACTCTGGAATGCACGGTCTGAGAATGCAGAATGTGTGACAAACACAGCCTTCCTTGATGAGACAACTGTAGCAGGCTCTGTGGTCTGCAATAAAAATACATATGTATATAATTAGCATGTATATTTTGTGTCTTTGTAATTTATTTGTGTATATAATATTGTACATATATTATATGCACACATAAATTACAGAGTCAGCTTCAAATATTTAGGTTTTTTTTTTTTTTTACCAAAGATTATAACTTCTGCTGTCTGTTATAAAATATGTATATTTGTTAAAAATGGCTTTAACCCAAATCACGAGTGAAACCTCATTCAAATTATTCCAATTAAAATTAGTTTTGAAACAGATCTTTATGTTCTGTAGCACCGCACACAGCTGTGCATTTCCAGAGGCCGTGTAGAAAGCACCCCATTCATAAAAACCCATCCAGTACATCCATGTTTTATCGTGCCAAAGTGACGCTCTGGGCTGCTCTCAGCGAACTCCAAAGGCAGGAACAAACTCACAGAGGCGATTATCAAAGGCACCTGCAGGGCTCCGGCCGCAGGTCACGCTGACGTCTATAACAGCTCTAGCTTTTGACAAGCCGGCACATCCGCTTGACGTAATGAAATCTTAAGCTAATTAGCATGGTTCCCGCCACCATCAGTGGATGACGCACTAAAGGCAGATTGAGTGGGCAGATGTGTAAGCTTTGGGCTGATGGAGACGTGTAGCAGGTGTGAGGTGTTGCGTGGGAATTTGGGGCCTGTAATCATGGTGCAGCCTTGTCACAAAGAGAGGAGATTTCTGATAGCATGGCATAATAAGACCTCGAGCCGTGCTGCGGAATGGAGAGAGTATCACACACACGCTGCAGATTAACAGAGAGCCGTTCCCCCCCCCCCTGAAATCTGCAGACATTACGAGATCTTTTTCAACTCTTCAGAAACCGATGACTGTTTCAAAACATCCATCCCAAACAACTTATTCAGATCGATTTCCTACGTGCCGGTGCCTTTGTTGTGTGAGGACCCACCCCAGCGATGCGTGAGATAGCAGGGTGTGTGTGTGTGTGTGTGCTGAGCACAAGGAAGCCGTCGCACACCAACTGCACTACATGCACTGATGCCTGCAGCAAAGATCTTTGCTTGTGCTGAAGATCATAGATTCCCTGCACGCAGCACCGGAGATAGCAAACATTATGTAGGTGGAGCATTGTCATCACACACCTCCAGGGCTACGGCTTTGTATCCTGTGTGTATGCGTGTGTGTGTGTGTGTGTGTGTGTGTGTGTGTGTGTGTTCTCCTCATGACCACAAGGGGCTCCTGCTGTACAGACGACTTTGTCACACTGCTGCTATGAGAACCATGAAGTGAAATGATCAAATAAAAAAAAAATAAAAACACTGTCTTTTATGCATTAATTAATGTTCACGCTAATTGCCCCAGAATGAAAAAAATATATACTGTGTGCCATCAGCCACACAGGTTTATTACATTTATTTTGATGTGCTGAATTTAAGTTAAAATGTGTTTAAAACAGTCTAAGGCACACATTCATAGCTATACATCTACTGTATAAAGCTTTATCTAAAAAAAGACATTATTAGATAATTCATTATTATTATTATTTGATGTTTTGATCGTGAATCTGAAATTATACCAGTGTGTTGTTCAACATTGACATGCAGCTTCTGCCAGTTTGCTGCAGAGCAGGCAACAGCAGACGTTACACTTACTCTAGAAAGTTCCCCTGGCAGCTGGGGGTGTAGGACCTGGGCTTTGTGTGGTCTGAGCATGTAAAAGATCTCATTCCTGTCAAGTCTGTGATAGTAGCAGGAACTGTACCACAGGCGGGTTGTTTCAGCCATCGTACTTTGGAGGTGACATGCAGCAGCATTTGGAAGGAGTCCTCATGTCACCGTCACGTAGTCCTGTGCTGTTTCACTGTCCTGTGTCACAAACTTCAGCTTGTTAAGCAGTATTCATATAATACGTTTTTTTTTCTTTTCGTTCTTCTTCTTTTGCTTTCTATCCTTCTCTGCTAATCACCTTGGCTTCGCTTAACAGGACTGCTCCTTGTTCCCAAAATGATTTCAAGTAATGAGATGAAGAACAGAAGAACCACAAACTGGGACATTATTATTATCAAATGGGCTTCTGTCTGGTGTCCTTGTTCCGAGTTTCTACATTACTGAAAGTCTTTTGTGTGACATCTTATAGATAATTACTCTTCTCTTTGAGAAAAAAATCTGGGGGTGGCGGAAGCCTGCCAGATATCAGTAAAAAAAAGAAAATTCTTACTCACAAGCAACTGATATTTAACTTGATGTATTCAGGGTAAGAGAAAGATCGATCCATCCAAATACTTACCCATTACGGTGTTACTGCAAGTTTGGAGCGTTTCCCAGAAAGCATACAGCATGAGAGAGTAGGCCAGACAACCCCAAGACACACACCCACACCAAGAACACACACATGCACATGTAACCAGATCTGCATGGACTGTAAAGTGGAGTAAATCCACAAGGACTGGGGAGGAGGAGCATACAACCACCATGCAAAGAGGGTCCAAGGAAAACCCACAACCTTGAAGACGTGATGCCACAAAACTGTGAGGCCTCTGCACCCCCCAGCAGGTAGAAAACCCCCCCTTCCGGAGCACAGGAAAGATCCTTCCCCCAGCCGTCTGATTAGCTTCTGCGGAGCGTGACATTTACAAACGCCACTTCTTCAAAAGAGGCCCCCGACAAAGGGACGAATGAGAGGCAATCATTGTCTCTGCGACCGAAACGCCGTCA